CCAACCTGCAAACAGGCAATAAGCCTTAAACCTTAAAACAATAAGCCAAACCCATTACAAAAGTACTGACAGCTTTCAGACCTGTGGACTTGAACTCGCAGAATTCCTCCTCCAGTCATGTTATCTCAGGATTTCTGGAACTTACCGGTAAAGTCCACAAGTTTTACAGCTGCCACGTTTGAAGACCCTTGCCAACCCTAACCAGTGCTTACCTGTGTGGTGTCCCAGGAGCAGGTGGCAAGCTTCGCCAAGCAGCATTGTCTGGGGCGTCAGCCAGGAAGCAGGTGAGGCAGGTGGCTTATCCAGGCAGCGGTGGGGCAGTGGCTTTGATTTTGCCCGGGAGCAGGTCAAGCTCCTTGGGCAGCGGGTTGGTGGCGGTGGCGGCTTTAAATTTTGCCCCGGAGCAGGTCAGACTCCTTGGGCAATAGCGAGGTAGCACGGGGCTCCTGGGGCAGCGGTGGCTTTAAATTTTGCCCAGGAGCAGTGGAGCAGCTCGGGTGGTAGGTCATCCTACCTACTTTTGCCATCGGTTGCCGCCATTGCCGCCACCATACCTCTCACTCCCTCCCATCAGGTGTGGCTCATGCTACATTCAGAGTATAAGACCCACCCAGATTTTCAGCCTCTTTTTGGAAAGAAAAAGGTGTGTCTTATACTTCGAAAAATACAGTACCTTTTTGTGCTATTTGAGACAATGATACTAAAATATGCATGGGATACTGTCAGGATACAGTTTTGTTGACTTTCATGTATTCTGCTTAAAAACATTTTACTTTAATGCGGTGCTTCTTCTATATTGCTGGCTTTACCTATAGCGCACTAGTTGTATTTCCTAGACAATCTGCAAACATGCCATTGAAATTTGCAGAACTGCCATATAACAGTGGCATCATTTTGCTGCATTTTTGTAAGCTTAAGAGTCTTTCCAATCAGCTGAATTTAGCTTTACAAATTCTCTGTCAGTTCTTTCTTGGCTTTAACCATTTCTGCCTACCCATTTCCTTGCCTCTGTCTTTCTCATTTTGGTCTTCCATTGCAAATATAATCCTTTTCTAAACATGCACACACTCCCTATGCTTCAAGTAACATCACAAATTTTCTTTTTCCATCAATCTATGCATGTATCATGCTTGGGATGGAATATGCAGCAAAGCCTCCTGTGAGACTATTTGGTTAGAACTGCTGTTACGTTTGCCCTTTAGGAAGACAAGAAAAAGAATCTAGCAGACAACAAAAGGTGACTAAATTATGCAGCAAGACTGTGAAAGATGGAATCTGAGTCTTTGGAAGTTGTTGAGCTAAAGCTTCCAGCATCTCTCATCATTGTATTTTGCTGTGCTGGAATTTGTAATTCAGCAGCATTTTGAGAGTCACTGATTCCCCATTCTTACTCTACTTACTTTAGCTTGTGAAGGAAGCAGATGGCCTTTGGTTTCAGCTACTCCTGCAGACATAACACCAGCATCTTTGAGTTCATTGCTGCATTCTGCCATTGTTTCTACTGACATAGACAGGCAGAATTAGGATTTGGTGAGAACAAGTATCTTACTGCAGAGGACAACTAAAAGGAAAATGTGGCAACCTTGTGGGACAAGGGCAGTGTGTATAGACATACACACACATACTAGTCAGTGATGGTTCTGGATCCCATGGCAACCGGTACACTGCAATGGGGCCGGACGTATATGCACGCTGCACGTGCATGCACACCCACCACCCTGTAACGCTGCAGCTGCCTGGCGGAGTGTTGCGCAGGAGCTGTACACTGGGTGCACGTGCGCAAATGACCCAGTTGGCTCAAATACAGGTAAGGAACGCGGGCAGGCCCTCCAAAGCACTGTTCCATTACTGGTGCCTGCTGCTCCCAGCAGGCACCAGTACACCTACACTGGGACGTACCTATCGGAATCCACCACTGATACTAGTAATCCTTGCCATGCTTTAGTGATTGACTTGTGGGGGTTTTTTGGGGGGGGATATTGATTCAAACACCAATGTGATGCATTATCTTTAACTGGAATCAAGTTCAAAATTGATCTCAATACAATAATACTTAAACAAACCGCTTATTTATCTACTGGTTATTTTCAATAAATATTTTGGATGCTGCTGAGTAAATGCATATTTTTTTCCTGTTCCCTGTAGTTGTAGAATGACTGAACCAGAAAGTAAAAGAGAGAAGATGGACTTTTTGTATAAATACTGGCAAAAGAACCATTGTTCTGAGGCAGCTTCACAGCAACTCTGCCCTAGACCTACAATACAATGCAAGAAGAGTGCTGTGGCATCTTTTAAACCTACAAATTCATTACCCAAGGGGAAGGTGGGGTAACTTGAAAATGGCATCCGGTTGAAAGAGGTATCCAACCAAAAATCTGGACATGCTACGTCATTGGCACCTTTCATCATCATCAAACGCTCCCAAATTGAAGGACACCACCTACTCAGTAACATATTCCCTGGGACCAAATTTACATGCAAAGAGAAAACAGACAATAGACTATCATTCCTCCATGTCAACATAAGGAGACTAGACAACAGAGCATTAGAAACCTGTGTCTACTGCAAACCTATACACATGGACTACATCCTCCCAACCACCCCATCTCACACAAAAGAAACTGTCCAGACCCTGTTCAGAAGGGCCAGGACACACTGCAGCACCTCAATACTAAAAAGCAGAAGTGAAACGGCTGATAGGTGTCTATCCAAAAAACTTCACATTCCAGCACACAGCAGCCACACCACATAGCCAATTGTTTTGGCTGTGGTTTTAAAACTGATTGATGAAAAAAGTATACCAGGTTTCAGCACTGAACAATTTTGGGTATTGGACTTGGCGGCCTTCTATAATTTAAAAGGTTTCTATGAATATGGCTACTATAGGTTGCAGTACTGTTTATAAAACCACTTTTGATTGCACTTAAGGATTCTGAAATAAACTATTTTATCTGTTGTTGAATTTTGGCAACTATAATAAGTTAATACTTATCTGTCCATTTAATGAGAGTTCAAAGTTATGTTCTTTGAAAAAGTGATTTAAAATTCTTCCTTGTACTTCTTGTGCTGCCCCTCACAATCAAATAATTGCAAATTGGGCAAACCAGCTTGCATTTACGACTGGTTGAAGTATCCTGCAGTCACATGATCACAATTTGTAATATTGCCAATTTCTAGGAAGCTGGATTCACTTAATGACCATGTTACTCACTTGATTGCTGTAAAAATTATGAAATTATGTCTGCTTAATAGCTTACAACAAAAATTCTGGTTCCAATTGTGGTAAGTCAAAGACTCTGTATCTCTTGTCACTGCAAGAAATAGAGCTGGAAATTAATTCTTAAAATGGCTCAGTTGTGAAAACATTCAAGCCATGATTTTTGGATTCTAGTTAAATCATAAAAGTTTTTCATTAGGAAATGCTGTAAATATGTATTTTTATTTTTGATCAGCGTATTTGCATGAATCACTTGTCTTGGCATTAAAATTTAGAGAGAAAATGGAAAACATTAACTGAGGAGCATCTGGGTGACTGTTTGCAAGCTGTGATCTCATATACTCCTAATTACACTAAGCATGTGGATGACCCGCAGTGTCAATCCATGTTAGTCCCTTGGGGCTATGTATTTCCAGAACTGCACATCTGTTGTATGTAGGGAAATATAAATGTACAGATGATTATATATGAAGTCTCCGTACACACAACAGCTAGCATTGGGTAGTCTGCCCAAATAAAAACAAGTGCATGTCACATCTTTTAGTCTGCATGCAGAATGAAATGCAATTATTCTGGGCAGAACTAACCCAAGGGGAAAGTAAGTGCAGAGAAAAAGCCAGGACAGGTTTCCTTGACAACAATGTGTGCAGGCATAAGTGACAGCTTGGGGCAGAAGGAAATGGCTGGGAAAGGTTGAGGGTGGATATGCTATTCTGAGATCTTGCTCCTTAATGCTGAGACTACTGCAGTAACAAATTTCAGCCAATGTGTGGCAGAGCATTGAGGGAATTGGAAGATGGACATGCATATCATGCAGAGTTGAAAAGGAATGATACATGCCAGCCTTACTCAATTTGCTTTCTAACATTGCTCCATTTTTTTNCCAGAATTCCCCCAGCCAGCTATGCTATGCTGGCTGGGGGATTCTGGGAGTTGAAGTCCAAAGGACTGAAAGTCGCCAAGGTTGAGAAACACTGGCGTAGTGTAACACTTCTGTACCAGATAATTTGTTGAAAAATCTGCAGTCCTGCATATTTTGTAAAATCTCTTTAAGTTGCATCTAGTGCAACTTCTTGTCTTGAGGCTACTGACATTTCAAAGAGATATAGAATCCTTATTGTCATTTACGTCCTTTCCATCAGCGTTGAAAATAATAAGTGATTAAAGGTCAAAGAATTATCTTAAGAGCTAGTAAAAGAGCAAGAATCATCTTTATAAATGCGAGAATGTGGTCGTCCCATGTGCCACATAAGATTAAATGTTTTTTTTTAAAGGTTATTGCTAAATTTACCATTTAATAAAGCAAATGTTGACATTAAAAGTATCTTGTAGAATGCATTTTCATTATTTTGGAATAGTTAAAGTTTGATTTTATTTGTATATGGACGTACATAGAGCAAAAAACGGTGCAAGATGCTTTGTATACATATACACAAAGATGAACATCTATCTGCTAGCACTTTTTCTGAAGGCAAAGTTTGAGTTTGGTTTGGAAATGAAATTCTGCCATCTTATTATGCTGTACATTTCTATTAAGAACTAGTGGTGTATATCAATATATTCTGAAATATACTGAGTTAGATACTTTTTTCTGCATTTAAAAGATTTAAATCCTTATAGAATCAATTTTAGCCATTCTGGAAGTGTTCTGAACTTAAACCGACTTTATGTCAAGCTCATAATTTCTGTTTCAGACAGGATATTCCTGAAATGGTTGGCATAGCCTGTATCAAGCAGTTTTTGAAATTGAAGTGTTTCCAAAATCCTTAACTTTTATACATTTTACACATCCTTTTTAGGGACATTAGTGAGAATGTAACATACCATTTGAAGGACTTTGGTTTGAAAAACCTGCTGATCACTACTTGTCAATATAGTGATCTTCTTAAATATATTATTTTGCTTTTCTAAGGATGGAGGCAAAAGGGGCAGTGTTCAGATATCGTCCCAATTTTCTTTAAATGAAAACAGTGCATGAGACTTTCAAGTGTAACTAGTTCTAGGTGGCAAAACCATTGTGAATATTTTATTTACATTCCTGAATTGCTTTAATTGGCTCTTTAAAACAATTTGAATTAATTCAAAACAAGCTGCTGACAAAGAATTCCTGGTTATGTGCAATAATGGTGCAATGAATTCCTAGTTTAGCAACTTGAGATGTACTGAATAAGAAACATTTCAAAACCAATCTTTCAAATACCAAAATTAGTGTTCCACCAATATGGAACCATTCACTTTTTGACTCTTGAAAGTTGAAAAAGAAGTTTTTTGAGGACATTAAGCTGGACTTATTGTTTCAGCCAATTTAGGAGAAGCAAATAAGATACATTTTTTTCAGGGCTTAATAAAGATTTCTGTGAAAAGCCAACTTGAGGGTAGAAAGCTGATTATGTTTATGATGCATCTTATTCTGAGAAATAATTTCTGAACCACAAAATCTTGTTCCAGGCTGTATGGTGAGTAAATAAGACCCAGAACCATAAAACAAAACAAAAAGTCCCCCAATTATTTTCTACAGTTCAGAAAACAGAGTAATTATGGCTTTTATCTTGCAATCTGCTTCTTTACTATGGTACTAACTGAATGCATTAATGTGTTTCTGTAGGAAAAGTATCACAGGTAGTACTTGACTTACGGCCAGTTATTTACCAACTGTTTGAAGTTATGACTTAATAAACTTACTTACAACCTGCCCTCAAAGTTATGACTGCTGCCTTTCCTCTCCTCTGCAGTGATGTTATCATATTTTGGGCACTTGGCAACTGACTCACATTTATGACCAGTTGCAGCCTTGCATAGTTACATAATCATTGCCACTTTTTTTTGCCATTTTCCAGGAGAAACAACCCATTGGATATACTGGATTTGCTTGGCAATCATGGTGACTCCCTTTATGACTACTATAAAAATGGTCATTAATTTTTTTTTTAATTCGGTCGCATGCTGACTCCGCATATGATCACATGACTTATAGCAGGGGTGGGTTTCAGGCGGTTCGCGGCGGTCCCCGCGTACCGGTTGGTCAGCAAACCCGGAAGTAAGTAACTTCTGGGAACGCCGAAGGGTCCACCCACCCGCCCGCGTTTCTTACCCGGTTTTGACGAGTTCTGCTCTTCCACGCATGCGCAGAACGCATACAGCACCTGCGCGATCCTCCAAGAGCAGCTGGAGCATCGCACAGGCGCTAGTACGCATGCGTGCACTGCGCGCGTGCACGAGGACGCCGCCAGCCCCGTTCCAACCGAACCGGTTGGAACGGGGC